GTGTACGCGCATATATATATATATATATATATATATATATATATATATATATATATTGATTTAAAATAATTTTTCCATATCTAACATAACCACCTCTATGGCTTCAGCTGGCAATGATCAGAGTTGAATGTTGCACAGTTACAGATCACTTGATTGAAATGAAACCGTGTATTCAATGTGCAAGTCTACTGAAGTCTTATGGAGGATTGTTTTTATTTATATTTAAGTATAAAAACGGCACATTTCTCTTTCACCTCATCATTCTCCTTTTTTTTCAGAGTTTGAAGGAGGGACTGACAGTACAGGAGAGGATGAAGCTGTTTGAAGCTAAAGACTCAAGAAAGATATAACACACTCTTTCTTTCTTCCGTTTTTGTATTCTTGCTCTTTTATTGTCTTTATTTAGATCTTCTTTGTTGATAGATGAAGCAGGGTAAAGAACTTTAGAACTTTTTTCTGATTGTGTTTTAATATGGTTTGTGAGAATTAAGGGAATGACGTTTCAATGTTGACATAGACCGTTTTTGCCAATCTTCAGCTCTGATGAACCTCATGTTTTTGGTGTTTTTTGGTCTCTATAAGTCCTGAAGCTGTTCCTCATCATCACAGTATATATGAACACACTCAGTATTGAACTAGAACACTAGACGTGTGTGTTTTTCTCATTTGAATATCTTCTGAATGGCTGCTGTTGTCTTCATTGGAGTGCTGGTGACATTTTTATGATTATTTTCTGAGAGAAGAAGAATTACTTAATTATTGACACAGAGAGATGTTATTTTGCCAATGATATTGTAAATATGAGTAAAGTCGCGTACGTGATAACACTTTTTCAGACTTTCTAGTACTGTAACCTTGAGATGAAATGATGTGGTTTCTATAAGCTGGGTAACGTGAGTGCGAGTGTGTTTTTGATCGTCAAGAGAGTTTCGGGTGATTATGTACTTCAGTCGTTTACTTGAGGAGAATCTAATTGCTGGTTTAATTGCTTTTGTGTTGCTTCTGGTTTATTCGGACGTGCAAAATATAGTGCAACCAAACGTGATCTCTGCTGTGGGTGTTGCGGCATAAAGCATTCGTTTGGCTACTGATAGTGAGCTTATTTTGTCCTGTAATTCCATCTGAACGCGGGACATTTTAATGATTTTGTTGTGTTATTCCAGCGTTCGTGCTATTTTATACTGGTCTTTGCATGATTATGAAGCACTTTGAGTCATTGATTTCTGTGTTCTGGTTTTGAAACACGTGATTCCATATTCCTTCTGCTCCAGAATTCAGAAAGTATTGAACACACAACAAAGAAAACTCACTGTATAATAATATTAAATTTTTGCTTTGTAAATAATTGGTTTTAGAGAAGATTCCTTTAACTTGTTCTCGGTCTGCATAGAGGAAAAAAATATCTTTATAGCTATCTATAAGCGGTATGTCTACAGTACACCTAATTCCCTATCTGTATGAATATTTTTATTTTGGTGTGCGTGAATGTGATATATCTGTAATAATAAAAATGTTTTTGAATCAAAAATCCAGTGATACATTGTCTTTTTAAAAAGAAAATGGAATATTCTTTAATATTATTCATACACTTTTTTAACCCCAAATGCTCGTCTTGCACCAGCTGGACTTCACGCGTTACGTAGTCACGTTGGAATACGCGTGACGTAGACGGAAGTACCGACCCAGTGTTTACAAAGCAAACGTGCAAAGAAAGTCAAACGCCCTTTACGAAAAAAAAAGGTAAAACAAAGGTGTGGGACGATTTTGAAGTTGGAGAAGAAAATGAGATGGACTTTTTTGCCCTACCCTACCTTTCTGAACAGGAGAGAAAGAGCTAACCAAGCATGACTTTCCAACGTGATTACGTAATGAGCTAGTGTAAGACGAGCATATGTGTGGTTAAAAAGTATATACATTTTTATTTAAAAAAATGACTGATCGTTTCGCTAGACAAGACCTTTATTCCTTGGCTTGGATGGCGTAGAGCTCTTTGAAGCTGCATTGAAACGGCAATTCGGACCTTCAGCCGTTGGTTCCCATTGAAGTCCATTATATGGAGAAAAATCCTGCAATGTGATCCTCAAAAACCTTAATTTCTTTGCGACTGAAGAAAGAAGGACATGGATCTTGAATGACATGGGGTTGAGTAAATTATCTGGAATTTTTTATTCTGGAAGTGAACTAATCCTTTAAGACTTACAAATTTGATTTATGAATGGGAGAAAGTACAACACATCAGTCCCTTCTAAATAAAACAGCTAAAAGTCACGCATCACTGCAGATGGAGCTATTTAAGCAAGAGAAACAACATTCATTTGACCACTAAAGTATTTGTGTTGCTGGTTTGAAATATAAGTATAAGCCATGCTTATTTTGAGTTTTTAGTATTTCCTATTCAAACCTTGGATGCTCGAAATAACTGAGCGGAGGTGTTCAAATGTGGAGGCGGGTGAACAAACTTTCCTTGACTTTGGTAAAACTTGTCAGATGCAGCGGAGACGTCTATTTGACCTCTGCATTTACATCTGCAAGACGTATTTTTTAGAGCCTTTGCTCATCTGCAATACATCTATAGGACGTTTCCTATCAGATGTCAAATGGATGTTTATAAGATGTCTTTAAGATGTTTATGATTTAGAATGAATGTAAAACTGACATCTTGAAGACGTCCATCAGATGTTTGGACACAGCAGATGCTTTCCAGATGAAGCGATCTTTAACAGACATCTTGCATAAGTCCATGTGCTATCTGGGAAACAGACACTATGTTAAAACTGTATCTTACAAACTAGTTTGACCAACTAGCAGTTAGCCAAGAGTCAGTCTCACTTTTTGTGTTCACATTAGACCAATCTACCTTTATGTAGCCTAACTGACTTTAAAAAGTTATGACCAAAATACTTTTTAAGACTAGTCTAAGCAGTTTATGCAACCCGCCCCTGGATCTCAGGCAGCTTCAGCTCCACACTGGATTGTACTCATGAAAAAGGTTATTTTTAACAAAGTATTTTGTAATGTGTCGGATATGTTGCGTTTAAGAAGTAATTCTGTCAAGTTTTTGACAGTCATGGTTCAGTTTTACTTTTAAGATACGAGTCAGGTTGAGTTACGCAGCTTCAGCTCCACACTGGATTGTACTCATGAAAAAGGTTATTTTTAACAAAGTATTTTGTAATGTGTCGGATATGTTGCGTTTAAGAAGTAATTCTGTCAAGTTTTTGACAGTCACGGTTCAGTTTTACTTTTAAGATACGAGTCAGGTTGAATTATGGTTTTTGACCGTCATTTCAGTCCAGGGTTATTATAGCATCATTCATATACTTTTATAGTTTTTGTTACGATTTTAAATTACAGTGTTTTCATTTTAAAGTTTTGGTAATTTTTGTTTGTCTTTTTATTACTTTTTTTGTTTGTTTTTACGTCTATAGGTTTATTAAGTTTTAGTTTTATTCAGTTTGTTATTTTAGTATTTCAATTTAAACAATGAAAATGAAAAATATTTTTCTTGCCAACTTGCTAAAATAAAGTGTTTATTTTTTTATTTCTGTTACTGTTTATTTTATTTCAAATAATGATTTTTATTAGTATTAGTTTGCAATAATAACCCTGTCTCAGTCTTTAATTTACCTGGACTGACCTTGGAATTTTTGTTTAGTGTGCAAAGGGGACTTGATATTAAATTCTGTCCTTTTTTTTATAATGTTTTTGTAATAAACAAACCAAGTTGCAGTTGACTTTGCCAGCCAGTGGTAATTATGTAGTTTTGGTGTATGAAAAAGAGTCTTTTGACATTTTGATCTTCTGTGAAAATAAAAATTGTGTTTTTTACTGCAAAATGTCACAGCATTTTACACGCACTACTTATACACTAGTCATGCAACTTGATTATTAATATTTATTTTAATTTTTTGAAGTTGCATTCAAAATTCACTTGGCTCAAAAAAAGCGTTCCTTTAAACATACATGATGCTTTTGTTTTGTTGTCCTTTATAGAACTTAAATCCCCCTTATGACAATATGCATATGTTGTTTTAACATTCTGCTAAGTAACTCAAGTGATGGTGAATAGAGGATGACTATTTTTATAATTAGAGTCTGTTTGAATGGCTGTTGTAGTCACTGTACTGAAATTAAGAACGAAGCGTTTGTGCTGCTCAGCAGTGAATAATGAAACCAGCAGTCAGCTGAGGATTCAGATCAAAAATACAAACATGCTATTAACGCTCGATGATCACAGTTATGCAAGTGCATATGTGGGTTTGCTGTGTGAAATTCCCATCATACATGTCTGTCACTCATCTCAACACATGCTGTCCTTCAAACAAAATGTATATGGGTATGTAAGATATTCTTCAAGAACCGCCCTGAGCTGCACTCTTGAATTTAATGCCGTTCATAGTTCAGCTTTATTCAATAATGCAGAAAGTTCTGCATGATTCATCAACTTGTGTGTGTATGTGTGTGATCTGTCTGGACTTCAGAAGACTTTTACAACAGCTAGGGGTGCTCCGATTGATCGGCTACCGATCACTATCGGCCGATAATCGCTTTGGGATGATTGATCGGCGGTCTCTATAAAGGCCGATTTCAAAAAACCGATCTCGAGCTGATGACGCTGCCGTGAGAGGTTTGGTATGACATGCAGCGGCACCTGTCTCAATCTCTGTCCGGCGAGGGTGAAATAATTGTAATGCTGAAGGTGAGGTACAATTCATATAACTTCATATCACAATCGAGGCAATGTCGCATGGTCACTAAAGTTTATAAAATTGCATTTCTTTTTAATTCTTGCCAGTGTTTAAACCATTCAGCGCTCTCCTGGAGACTGAGCGCTCATGCGCACTCGCAGCGCACACACATAATGCCAGGTTTACATTACTCTGTTTGCAGTGCATATGTGGTGCGTATTTTTCCCTGCTTATGTTAACGAATTAAAGCATTCACACTGCACACGGTTGCGGTCCGGCAGTGCGTTCCAGTAGCGGTGCGTCTGCAGCAGTGCAGAGATCGTTTCCGCACCGAGTCTATGTTTGCTGCAGCGCATAGTTTGCCAGAAATATGAACATGGATTGACACGAAAATGTAGTAATTACACCATAAATGCATATAATTAAAGTCAGGAAAACAAAGTTCTTTATGAACCGCAGGATTGCTTGTAATAAAGATTTCAATGCAAAAGAAAAGGCAGTAGAGCTGACTATTTCTGTCAATGGTAAGTTATAATTTAGAATGTTTGTGATAATGTAAGAAAAGTAGTTTAGATGTTTTGCCCCTTTGCTTGAGCAACTTAATATATCAATCTAGAAGTGAATGCAAAAGTAAAAAGCATTGAATAATGTGTGTTTCTTATATTTATTTATTATTTATTTACACGTCTATGAAAGATTGTATTAGCTACTGCACTGTGTAAAAAAAGAATCACAATGCTGAAAAAGCATTTTCAGTAACAATGTTTGGATTTGAAATCAAAATAATGGATAAATGTTGTTTGTAGTAAACAGCCACTCACATACAGCTCACAAAATCAGGCTTGTGCTGTGTGTAAGCTATTGTGCAACAATTGCACGATTGTCAAATCAAAAATGCACTGCATGATCAAACATTTAGGTGAGATAAATATACATTTTTGAAAAATGTCTAAAAAATGCCCCCTCCACCCCTCAAATTAAAAAATCCCCTCTCACAAGAGTCACCTAAGAGGGGAATTCATTTTCAAAAATGAAATTCAATCCCTGAATAAATGTCTAAAAATCTCGATTGGATCATCACTATAAATAATTCTACAAGAAGGCTTTAAAAATATCGGTATCGAATGTTGTATCGGCAGATACTGCTTTCTGTGATCGGCGATCAGCCTCAAAAATCCTGATCGGAGCACCCCTTCAAGGAAGGAAGATTGCATATGTTAAGTGACAAACCTAATTAATTTAGTAAATAGTTTTTTTGTTGTTTTCCCACTGCAGTCTCAAACAGTGTTGTTTTTTTTTCATACACTTGTCAAGTTTGAGATTTTTGGTCTATTTTTCGTCCATAATTTGTCTTCTTTCAGACTAGTGGAAAGAACACATCCCAAATACACATTTAAGTGTTGATTTTATTACATTTTGTCTATTTGCATCTGTTCAATTTCAATACATATCTTTATCTTTATTCTTTTTTCAAAATTAGTTTTTTTTTGTCCTGCAAAAAGTAGTCAGAAATCTCTATTTTTCAAGCACCTATACACCAGTTTCAGTTTTATTTCTGTGTTTTATATATTTTAACTACATTCTGAAAGTAAGGGTTTGTTCACATATCATTTGCCTGATTTATATAACATTTCATTCCTAAAAACATGTATATTCTGGCTGTCGACAATATTTTCTGATTTATGGGGTGATAAAGATCCTCCAAAATCCCCGCTGTAAACACTTTAATATGTCAACACAATGAAACCTAGCGTTCAGATTTCTGTCATTTTATGCAAATTAGTGCATATTTATTTTTACATATAGTGCTT